TATTCAACGCTTTTCCTTCATGTATGAAATGGATTACCAAATAATCTCTAGTTGTTCTCAAGAGGGAACTTCACAGATTCCTCAGAACAGCTCCTGATCAGCCGAGTTGAGGTGCAAACGCTGGACTGCGGGCGGCAGGTACCAAGAGCTTGATCGATCAGGTCAGCAACCAGGAGGTCTGGTCTGGGACCGGGTCGCGGGGGTGGTGACCTCCGGAAGCAACTCCAGGTAAACTCCTTGGCCACGTCTTTGCTTCCTCTCTCCACTGATCCTAGTTTTAGGTCTAGTGGGGATAGAGGGTCGTGCTAGGGGCAGGGAGCTGTGAAATTGGTTAGGGTTAAGGGATTCTGCTGGGGTAGAAATAGATGATAAGGGTAGGGAGCTGTAGTAGGGGTAAGGGGTTGTGGACGGGGTAGGGGCAAGGCACTGTGGACGGGGTAGGGGCATGGGATTGTTGTTAGGAGAGGGGTAGGGGTTTTGCAAAGGAGTAGGGGACTGCGGTACGGAGTATGGATTAGGGTAGGGAGTAAGGATTGTCGAGAGGAGTAGGGAAAGGAGTTAAAGGATGAGGTGAGATCGAGATTAAAATGTATCCTCAAGATAAGAGATGAAAGGAGACGCTTTGAGACAGTGTAAGAGATGGGGGGTGGGGGGCCGGTCAGAAATAAGTACTGTTAGTATCAACAGTACTGGTACCTTATATGAGGTACTGTTAATATCAACAGTGCTGGTACCTTACATCATGTACTGGTAGTATCAACAGTACTGGAACGTTACATCAGGCAATGGTAGTATCGGCAGTGATGATACCTAACATCAGGCACTGGTAGTAACAACAGTACTGGTACCTTACATCAGGTACTGGTAGTAACAACAGTACTGGTACCTTACATCAGGTACTGGTACCATCAGCAGTACTGGTACCTTACATCAGGTACTGGTTGTAACAGTACTGGTACCTTACATCAGATACCAGAGTGTCACTGGGAGCAAGGAGACTTCAGTAATATCAGCCTGAGCTGGGAGACTTCAGCAATGTCAGCTAGAGCTCTGGGACAAAAGCATTGTCAGCTAGAGCTGGAAGATTTAAGCAGTGTCGGCTTGATATGGGAGGCTTCAGCAGTGTCAGATAGAGCTGGGAAACTTCAGTAGTATCAGCTAGAGATGGGAGACTTCAGCAATATTAGCTAGATATGGGGATTTCTGCAGTGTCAGGTAGAGCTGGGAGACTTCAGCAGCGTCAGCTTGATATGGGAGACTTTAGCTGTGTCAGCTAGAGCTGGGATACTTCAGTACTGCAGGCTAGAGCTGAGATACTTCAGTACTGCAGGCTAGAGCTGGGATACTTCAGTACTGCAGGCTAGAGCTGGGATACTTCAGTACTGCAGGCTAGAGCTGGGATACTTCAGTACTGCAGGCTAGAGCTGGGATACTTCAGTACTGCAGGCTAGAGCTGGGATACTTCAGTACTGCAGGCTAGAGCTGAGATACTTCAGTACTGCAGGCTAGAGCTGGGAGACCTCAATAGGGCGAGGAGGATAAAGGTTCTTCAGCTACAGCAGCTTCAAAGGTTTCGTTCCAGCAGCGCTGGAGTTACTATCACTAGGGAATTACCAACTCTCAGGATGAACCATCCCATACACACCAGAAATATGTTGGAAGAAAATAACACAATCGCTCGCTCGCGCGCGCGCGCACACACACACACACACACACACACACACACACACACACACACACACACACACACACACACACACACACACACACACACACACACACACACAAAGGCCAAGTGTTGATTGAAAAGTGATTTTGACAACCGGTAACTAACCCACCTGGAAGATAAACTGGGGAGTATGGAGAGGTTAAGAGGGGTGAAGAGGAGATGTGGAGGCAGTGAAGAGTTGAATAGTAGAGACCATGGAATGAAAAGCGAATGTCAGATAAGAGGAAGAGGGAGGCGGCTGAAGCATGAAGTAGACGCTGCCTGAAGGAGTATGAGAGAGAGAGAGAGAAAGTAAGAGTAATCCTAAGTGACAACTCTCTCGAGTACAAAAATGCCAGAAAATTTATCGCCTCACTAAGCGGTTCTTTTCATTACATAAACAAAATTGAAACGGCCAGAATGCTCTTTCGCTGACTGATCTCAGACCGAACCCGCGGGGACGATGATCCCCTGGATCATCAACAGAACGAATGCTCCTAGATTCTGTTAATGGCTTTGTTCAGCATCGTCCAAGCGACCCGCTCTCAGAATAGACCTTTTAAATGGAAAAGAAATACTATAGTGCAGAAAAAATATCTAATATGTGATATAGGGTAAAAAATAAGGACATATTGAATAATAATAGAATAGTGGAAGATTTACCCGTCATGATTCAGCTTAAGGAAAAGGTGGCTCTTGAACGCATGGCAGGTATGTCTTAAAATTCATAGGCCAGTGCACTAACTATTCAATCAGCTGGCTCTTAAGATTCCTCCAACGTGATCATGAGTAAGAAACGCTCAGTCGTGTGGTAGGAGGGTAGTTCCTCCCTTTTGAATGGTTGTTACCTACTGACCTACATGACAACAGGGTAATACCTGTAATAATGTTGGTAGAATTGCCGACAATATGTAAGGTAAACGGACACAAGTGCAACTAATGCGACATTTTGCTGTGACAACGTTTCGCTCTCCAGGAGCGTAGTCAAACCGTTAAAAACAATGCAGGAATACAAAAGGTATACATAGGTACAGAGTGAGGTGCAAAGCATAATATATATAATATATACCCTCTGTGTCCCTGTATTATTGGTAACAGCTTGACAAAGCTCCTGGAGAGCGAAACGTTGCCACAATAAAATGTCGTATTAGTTGCACTTGTGTCCTTTTACCAGTTTAATACCTCCCTGGAGGGTACCTGTCTACCAGCCTACGAAGAAACATCAAAAAGTTATAACTGAGGCCCCAAGGTAATTCGGTAGTATCATTGATGTTCTACCTCCCACCGACCAACGGAGACTGAGGCAACAAAATGAACAGAAGAACTATACCAAAGTGCACAGTCTATAGAAAGTGGAGAAGAACAATCAGCACCAAAGAAAAAATCCTGATGATAGGAAATTTCAGCCAAGAAAAATAAAATCAGGAACACTAAGATTCACACGGGAAGCCAAATATGCTAAGAGCAAAACTGGAGAGAGTAATGGCAAATTTTGTAAGCCATTACGAAAGAAGAAAAGAAACAGTAAAACTAGCCCTGGACTTTACCATAAGCAAAAAGGACATAATAAAAATTGGTCGTTGTCTCTTTACTACCATAAAGAGCCAATGATCACAGAGTGATTTCGGTTACTTGGTAGGCGAAGAGCCACGAAAAAGAGAGGAAGATATAAAACTATGCTTCAGAAGAGAAGATAATGCAAGGAAGATTTTTTTTTTTTTGAAGGAAGTATAATGGAAAAAATAACTCGAAGGTCCAACAGTTCTTGAAGACCTACCCAGGAAGTGTTAGGGTTCCTCAGAAACAATTATACTTGTGGAGAAAAATGAATGAGAAATGCAGAGAGATCTTACCGTTTAACCAGAACAGCAGAGTGACGAACTCAAAAACAAAAGATCATAGAAAATAAGCATAGAAACTATGAAGGTTATGGAGGACAGGAGACAGCGTAAAAGGAAGAAATTAGAAAACAAGATTTATAAGATAATCTGATCAGCAACTGAAAAAAAAGACAACACCGAAAGCCAAAATAATTTTACAGTTATGTACGAAGAAAGATGACCATTAAATACAAGTAATAAGCATGAAGGAGAGAGTAGTACTCACAAGCCATCAGGGAAGTTTATGATGAACTAAACAAAGACTGAAGGTCTTCATCAAGAAATCAGTTATGGTATCAGACAGCAGTGACTGAAAGACAGCCCAACAGACTCTAGACACCAGCCACACAGACAAAGGGGAGGTGAAGAATACCAGCCGAGTCTGATGCAACATCAGCTATGGGACCTGACATGATCCTTCAGAAGAGCAAAGAGCTGCCAGTGGTCAGCATGCATCGTCTCACGCTGAACAAGAAATAACTGCAGGCAGCTGAAAACTATTCGGTAGCTAGGAGCCGTTAGTTAGGCAGGTCAAGAAAAGTTTCATTAAAGAAAATCAACACGAGTTTAGAGACATGAAAATCAACCTCATACAACCTACTGGAGAGCTACACAAGATAAAGATACAACATTAGTGCAGTGGGCGAACTGCATGATTGAACTGAAGGAAAACATTAACCATATCTGCATTTTCTAGTTTGTGATAAACGGAATGTATGGTAATGCGCTCACGCCAATCCCCCCCAACACACACGCACACTTAATACACAAATACACAAATACACATCCCGAGAGTATAAAGAGGAACATGAAATAAGCAGCTGTAGTTCGGTATTAGCAAGTAAAAAGAGAGAAAACTACAAAAATCTAAATTTGTAACAGTGATTTCAGAACTGAAAAAGGAAGTGCCAAAAGCAACTGATGACGCAGAAAAGCGCGTAATAAAAGCCAAGAGAAACAGAAGAGCTATGATAACCATATACACGATTATATAGCAATATATCCACAAACACGGTTATATCCTTAAGTAACAAGACACAACGTGAAGCACTTCTGCTTATAAATACGCTTTGGTGGTGAGTGTAAGGGCCTCCCACACCAGACACTTTGAACTAAACCCACTGTAAACTTATACATTGCCATTATAAATTTCTGAGGAGACTCGACTAGTGTAGCTCTACAAGTGTAACCTCGGAGAGGTAACTATATTTACACACGCTCCGGCACTCCAGGACAGAAATAAAAAAATGGGTCGAAAAGATTGAGATGGTAGCCTGGAACTATAATTATACCCTAGCAAAACAACTAGGTAAGTACAAGAAGGTGAGTACAGCAAGGTGAGTACAGAAGTACATGGCACGCACGTGCGAGCGCGCCGCCCTTGAAGCACCAAAGTAAGGAGTAACACTCACTCATGTTCGTGTCCATCGGCTCATCTTTGGGCTTCCGTTTTCTTGGTCTGCCCTTATGGTGAGTCCCCACCCCGTTGTAGTATTGTAGCTTGCCTCCGTGTTCAGGGGGCGGGAACCCCTGCAGCACCTCCGGGGGAAGGTGGGGGTGGAGACCATGGTGGGGGAGCTGGTGGGGGCCTGGGGGAAGCGGGGCGCCAGGCAGGGCACCCGGGGGCATGCCCATGGGCGTCACGTAACCACCCTCCAGCAGTGCTGACATCTGCGAACGACAACATACACAAGACGCTGAATGACCTCCAAAACTCAGGAGAGGAAGAGGACAGTCAGTCAAGGTGCTGATTTTAACATATAGTGTGAATAATGTGGATTAGCTGAAGCACAGACGCACATGAACACGCTCACGCACATACTAACACGTACACACAAGTACTCAAACACACACACACACACACACACACACACACACACACACACACACACACACACACACACACACACACACACACACACACACACACACACACACACACGTGTCTATAAACACGTGCCTTTGATAAACAGTAACTATTGCTACACACACGCACGCTGGGTGAATACACACACACACACACACACACACACACACACACACACACACACACACACACACACACACACACGCGCGCGCGCGCGTGTCTATGAACACGTGCTTTTGGTAAACAGTCACTATTGCTACACACACAAAAAAAAAAAAACACAACAAGAGAGACAAAGAGACAGGGTAGACCAATGAACACTGGATAGCATCCAGACGTCAAGGGATGAAGCGAAGAAATTAGAGAGAGGTGGATATATCAGAAGCAAGATCTCATTATATATGTCCATGAAACGTGTAAGGAGGCACAGAAGCACTATCTGCATTGCTAGCAAAAATCTTTTATAAGTTACAAGAAACACTGCAAATGTTTAAAAAAAATGGAAAACAAATGTAATAACAATACAGAAGCAAGGAAACACAGATAAGAAATAAAGAATAATGGACCTGTATTTTTGATGATTATGTCGTACGAGGCAATAGAGAAGATAATCAGAAAGAGAATGAGTGGAATATCTAAAGAATGGAGGCTTCATAAATGACAACCATAAATATATAGAGAGGAAGTCCTGTCCTAAGAACCTACTGAAATTCTGTCAAAGTGAGACACAAGGCATGAATGAACAGCGAGTGGACTGAACTGTAAGAAGATACTTGCTACCGTACCAGACTGAAGATTGAGCGAAAAACTAGAAGAGAAAGAAGAGATAATCGGAGAAGTACTATAAAGAATGGCACATTATGCACGTCACCTAAGGGAAAAAGAAAGTGCGATATGTTAAGAGAGTAACTTCCAGGATGGGTGGAGGTGTCAAGTGGGGTTAAATAGTGCTGACACCTGTACAGATTCTTATATATGTAGACGACATACCAGAATAGATAATGTTACTATCTGCCGATTATAAACCTAATGAGAGAATACAATTACTGAAAAAAAAGACTTTGGCAGACCAAACGTGTCGGAGTATAGACTGGGAAGGGAGGAAACAGTGGGCTACAAACCCTTAACAAGTAAAAGAATCTTGGGTTAAGCATATTAACGATCACATCACCGAAGGCATATAAACATAAAAGTGTGGGTAGTATATGCACGCCTAGAAAACTTAACTGTTCTCAGGAATTTCTCAAAAAAAAAAATCATTCATTACCCTATACAAGACATGTGAGAAACCTACCTTTCTTAGAGTATGTAGCACCTGTCTGCAGCCTACTTGTGATCAAGCATATTGAGAAACAAGAGGAAGTAGAGAGATCTACAACAAGACTGGTCACAGAGGCAAAAGAACTGCCCCTAATGTCCTTAATGGAAAAAAGAAAACATGGAAGACACAACGTACAAGATAGTCAGGGGAGAATTAAGAACAGAATGCTTAAAAGGCTGTGTTCACAGACGTTACAACGGTAAATAAAAGACAAAAATGAGTCAGTCGCAGGGATATTAGGAAGTAATTTTTTTTAACTTGAAGATGGTTCGCAAGTGATATGATTTTCTTAAGTTGGTGGTGAAGGAAAACACACACACACACACACACACACACACACACACACACACACACACACACACACACACACACACACACACACACACACACACACACACACACTGGAAGCTGAAGACTCCTATGAGTCAAAGGGATGTTAGGAAGTATTTCTTCAGTCAGAGTTGTCAGGAAGTGGAATAGTCTAGCAAGTGATGTAGTGGAGGCAGGAATCATACATAGTTTTAAGACGAGGTTTGATAAAGCTCATGGAGCAGGGAGAGAGAGAGGACCTAGTAGCAATCAGTGAAAATGCGAGGCCAGGAGCTATGAATCGACCCCTTCAACCACAAACAGATGAGTACACATTCTCACACACTCTTATCGTTCAGTTTTATCAATGGCTTCTAGTCACTATTATGTCAGCGTCTTCTCACCCTGCCATTGCCTCTGAATACGTCATGATTGTCTTCCCAGAGTCTTTGGTCTGTCAACAAGATGAGGTTTAGTTCGGAAACTCCTTAATCAGTTTGGTGGCAAGTCTCGTGGCTTCATCAAGCTTAGCTTACATCCCTGCAAAGGCATGAGCTTCACATACTCTATGACTGTTCTGACATTACTGGTGTAGAGCGTTTTGAATGATAACTGAGGCTTGTTCTTCAAGACAGTTTAAGTCACCAGAAGATTCATCTCCTAAACCATCAAGGAAAAACCGATCTAAACTTAAGCAAAGTTTTGGGTTTATTATGTAAGTTCAGCTGTTTTATGATTCATACATTTTAGCAAGGTTGAGAGGCAAAATTAGTTTTGGAGTGAAATTAACAATTTGCATACCAAAAATTTTTATAAATTTAGTTAAATGTTTTCCTTTGAAGGGAAGCAAGAAAAGAGGGAAGAGCAATACTTCAAGTTATCCAGCAATTCTTGCATTATGAAGTTTCCTCCTCCCCTACTAACCCTCCCCCCTCCTGCCTCCCGTCTCCCGTCTCCTGGTAGTGGTCACTACAGCACATACTGCTAAAGGAACCCTTCACTGCCTCTCACCTACAGTAGTATTGATCTATTGCATATATAAGGGGACCCTGTTTCCCTCCCCCCCTCGCCCTTCTGCCATCTTTGATAATGATCCCTGCAATATATGAAGAGCTTTCCCCTTCCCTTCCTCTGCCTCTGTCTTTCCTTCCACTTCACCCTTTTCCTCATCTCCCCTTTTCTCTGCCCTCCTCTTCACCTGGCAGTGATTTCTGAAGTATATAAAAAGCCTGGCCCCCTGACTCTTATCTAGTAGAGGTCCCTGCAGTATATGAAAAGAACCTACCCTCATACCTTGCCTCTTCTCCCATTTCCCAACCTTTCCCTGCCCTTCTCATCCCTGTTCCCCCTCCCCCCTTACTTAACAGTAGCCCTGCAGTATATAATGAGCTCTTCCTTCCCTGGCCCTCGCCTGATAGTTGTCCCTTCAGTATATAAGGAAACCCCTGCTGCTCACCTGGTAGTGGTCCCTACAGTATATAAGGGGGCCGCTCATGCCGAACTGGTCACCCTTGGTGAGCTGAACGTTGCAGTGAGCGCAGGTGAAGCACTGTACGTGGTACACGAACTCTCGCGCCCGCATCACTAGTTCGGAGCTGCCGATGGTCTGAGTGCACCGCGCGCATCGCCGCACGCTGAACAACCTGTACCGGGGAAAAAAAAAAGTTAGCGTACTTCCACGAGTGAACCAGGAAGAAATGCAGAATTAGGCGTGACTGGAGTTAGTTATAACTGGAGAAAGTTGTAACTGGAGAATACGTTCAGGTGACAGAAATTTCCTCCCAGAAATGATGTTCTTAGGTCACACACGAGCCTAGAACAGGAAACACTTTAGATTTAGGTTACAGAAGCCTACACAAGGGAACATTGCAGATTTAGGATACACAAGAACGTACACTAGGGAATAATGAGTACTTAGTTACCACAGGAACCTGAACAAGAGAATCAAGTGACATTAAGTTATTGTCATTCACATGTTTTGACATAGAGCAAAGTATTTTTAGTTGACAAGGGATTCTGCATAAAATTTCTTAATATATGTTAAGAGCTGCATAATCATCGCCCCTGCGGCTCGATCTCAAGAACAAGGAAACAGCTTAATAATTTACATAAACTGATCGATATCACAAGGGTCACAGCCCGACTGATCAGGTGCTGACTTTAGGAACCTATCCAGTTCTCTCTTGAAGATAGCTAAATGTTCACTGGTAATCCCCTTTATGTGATGGGAGGCTGTTGAAAAGTCTAGGACTCCATATGTTCTCTCAGCGTGCTTAAGGCACCCCTGTTTTTCATTGGGGGTATGTTGCACCATATGAAGGGCATTTTGATTTCCTAGATAATGAGTTGTGTGTGTAGATATGGAACCAGTCCTATGATTTTCCAGGTTTGTATCTTTCTCGCCTACATTCCAAGGAGTACAGGTCAAGGGACATCAAACATTCCCAGTAATTAAAGAGCTTGACTGAAGATTCTCTGTGTATTCTCTAGATAATGAATTTCGTCTGCCTAAATATGGGCAGCCTCTAACTTAACTCCGTTTACTATTACTCTTTGTTTTCTATTGAGTAGAAAGTTAAAGATCCATCTGCCCACTTTCCAGTTATTCCTCTGTCACGCATTTTGCGTGCTATTACACCATGATGGCACTTTTCGAAGGTTTTTGCAAAGTCTATATATACAAGATCTGCAATCAATTTGTCCTCCAGTGCATCCAAGACCATGCCATAGTGGTCTAGTAGTTGCAAGGGGCTGGAGCAACCTGCTCTAAACCCATGCTGCCCTGGGTTGTACACTTGTTGGGAATCCAAGTGGTTGGTGATCTTGCTTCATAGAACTCTTTCCAAGATTTTTATGATACGGGACGTATAAGTGCTATCGGTCAATAATTCTTATTGCTTTCTGCCACGTTAATGGAGTGGGGGCTATACCCATTGTTTTTTAACGACTGGTTTCTTGGAGTTCTTGATGAACAAAAAGAAGAGTGTATGGATATGGTATCAACGGCTATTTCGATGTCCACTGGTGTTAGGGTTACGTTGGAAATTTTGGAGATATTGACATGTTTTTAAGTCTTACTCATAAAAAAATTCAGATTGTTAACCTTAAGTCTGATTAACGGCTCACTAAACAGAGAGTCATATTGAGACTTCAGTATTTCACCCATTTCATGGCTGTCTTCATTGTAAGTTCCATCTTGTTTGACCAACGGCCGAATACTGGAGGTGGCTTTGGCCCTGGATTTGGCATAAGAAAATAAATATCTTGCAATGCCACTATCAGAAAGTGCAGTACCACTATCAGAAACTGCGGTATCATTATCAAACTGCAGTATCACTATTAGCAACTGTAGGTACCACTCTCAGAAGCTACGATACCACTATAAGAAGTTCCGGTGCTGGTATCATTAACTCAATTATCACTCTTAAAGGCTCCAGTACCATTATTAAAGGCTTCATTACACTAACAAAGGCTTCGTAATGATACTGCGGTATCATTATCAAACTGCAGTACCAGTATCAGAAACTGCAGTATCACTATTAGCAACTGTAGGTACCACTCTCAGAAGCTACGATACCACTATAAGAAGTTCCGGTACTGGTATCATTAACTCAATTATCACTCTTAAAGGCTCCAGTACCATTATTAAAGGCTTCATTACACTAACAGAGGCTTTGAGGCTGTTTAACTGCTATCAGAGGCAGATGTAATACTATCAGAGGTTTCCTTATCACTATCAGGGGTTTCAGTGCTACTATCAAGGGTTCCAGTGGTTCCACTGCCACTATCAGGGGATTCCATTGCCACTACAGTGATTTTAGTACCATTATCGTGGGTTCCAGTTTCCCTGTTAAGGATACCGGTACCAGCATCATGGGTTCCAGTACCACTATCAAAGGATCCGGTACCGTTACCAGGTGTTCCAGCACGACTAGCATAGTTTCCAGTATCACTATCACTGATTCCAGTGCCACGATCATTAGTTTCAGTGCCACTAGCAAGGGTTCCAGTACTCACTGGACCCTCTTATCCATGTCAAGAGGAACTACTCTACATTCCATGAAAAAAGGGGTTTGGGTGTGTTCCAGGGAAGGTAGGCGGGGCTAACTGTCACGTGACCCCGCCTCCTCTCACGTGATTGGCCGATAGCATCGTGGCCATGATGCCAGATAGTGCTTAGACAACGGGCTCTCCCTCAGGGTGAAATTTTAGTGTCCCTCTTACCTATATTTCCAGCAACTCTCGGGGGGGTTGGGGTTAATGTGATGGTAGGGACAGACCGTATAGATTGTTAAGGAACGTTGGGGGTTATGGTGAGGGGTTAAGGAAAACAGGGATGGTGGTTAATGCTTTAGTTATGGTACTCTCGTAAGAATTGTTATCAGGGATGATGGTGGAGGCGATGATGAGGGTGATGGTGAGCATTACTGTCTTCACTGATTGATGAAATTAGCGATGACAGTGGTGATGACAGTAATGGTGGTGGTGATAATGATGATAGCAAAGGTAATGATAACAAAGGTGATGATAATGATAGCAGTAATGGTGGTGGTAATGATAACAAAGGCAGTTATGATGAAAATGATAATGATGGTACTAATGATGTTAATGAAAAAAACGTTGATGGTATGCTCATTCCTTTAACATACCAAATCACCAGTATTTTCGTTTATTTTCGAAGGCGTCAACCCAACAGTGTCTAACTCTTAACATATAGTACTAATATATCTCAAATTATATACAGTGATGGATCTAAGCAGGAGTCTACTGACAGGGCTTCCGTCTGCTCGTGTTGCCACCTCCCTACTTAAGAACTCTATCAACCATGTTAAGTAAGATACAAAAATTAACAACAGGTTTCACATTATACATTGAATTGTTTGTCATCCCATCTGAACTAAAGTTAACCTTTGACACTCAGCTCGACTCCTTGATCATTTTTTATTCTGTTTCATCAACCTAACATACTCACTGGAGAATCAAAGTATAGATAGGCAAAAATAAAAGATAAAGAACAATTATTATGGGTTTCCTTTCACTTTAAGCAACGCAGATAAATTTACCAAAGAAAACACAGATCAAGTAAGCCACCAGGAGGTCAGGTCTGGCACAGGGCCGCGGGAAGCAGTGACTCGGGAATCATCTACAGATAAAACTCTGAAAGAAGAAAATGGATATAACCTTGGAATTGAAAACAGAATTAGGAACAAGTAAATGATGAATAAAAATGTCATCTGAACGCATTTACAAGTCTGATACATCCATAACATGAAGATCTAATTGCCTGGATCCAGCCGGGCTGTATACAAGGTCATCAGACATTTTGGCAAACACAGTTGATTAAACTAAATGTAAAGTACGTGGTCAGCCTTGTGGTCACTTTTTTGAACATTATGCTTCATTGTTTACTTACTGAGGGATACAGAGATAATATAATAACTTGGTGTGCTATACCAAGGAGTCATATAAGTAAAAATAAGATGCATGTGAAGGTGTGGAGGAGTGCTGGGGGACCGTTGGGACCTTCATCACCCTTATTTGTCGCTTTCATGTCAATATTTTTAATTACCTAAATATGTTTTATGTTTGCCCTTTAAGAGCGAAATTTAAATTGAAAATGTTGCTATAATTTCGAAGACATAGAACAAAAAAACTAAAAAAAAAAAAAAAATAGGATAAATTCTTGTAGTCTAACACATACAAGCCACTGCCCCCTTCCCTACCCCACCATCCTAACTCACAAGTAATAAAAACTCCAGCTCTACTGCAATGAAACCTTTGATGCTGCCCTAGCTGACGAACCTTTAATAAAGTACTTGAGGCTATTCTCATTGTCCTGCTAAGGTTTCTCGGCTTACGCTGACGGGTTTTAGCACTATACATGCAACTCCTCGTAAGTGATAGAACATAAAAGGGATATTTACCCAATTTCGCCTCCCCGCGCTGTGTAACTATCAAATAGAAAACGGTAGCAGCACACTAATAATACATCCATTTTTTTTTTTTTTTAATAAAAGAGCGTTTTTTTCATCAGGAAAGTGTTCTGATATGGTTTTAGGAGATGGCTCGCTCAGGACGAGTGGAAGCGAAGAAACCACTAACCTTGTTGCCCCATGGCTGGGGTGCGGAAGATTGTTTTCCGGAATCTGGGCGCCATTGGTCCTATTGCTGGGGGGCGGCAGGTCTCAGGAGACAATATTTTCTACGGTTTATTACACAAAAAATAGTTTGTCCATCAGCTACTGAAACCTTGCGTCGATGGTATCTTCATTCAGCTGTGCAGCGAGGCTAAAGTGGGGCTACCTCCCTGCCTTTGTGTGGTGGTGGCTTATTCTACGAGAAACAGAATAAGTATCTCCTGACAAGTGGCTTTGTGATGACCCAAAACTGCTTAAGTATCCATTAGTTTCCCGGAGCTACCGGTAAGTTTTACACCCTCATTTAAGAACGGATCAGTAATAGCGAGTGTGCTAAGTTGATCTTCGTACCTGACACTGGCTATGGGACGGAGCCACGACTACTCTTAATGTCTGACAGTCTCGTGTCGAACTTGATGATGCTCCAACAACACCATCACCCGTCACACCCTACCACCGTTTCACTGCTATGTAATTATTGTATATTATAGCGCACCAGCCCACCA